AAAGAAATTATCTGGACAACTAAAAATATATAGAAAAAATTAGCCGGGCATGGTGGCGCATGCCTGTAGTCCCAGCTACTCGGGAGGCTGAGGAAGTAGGATTGCTTAAGCTGAGGAGTTTGAGGTTGCTGTGAGCTAGGCTGACACCATGGCACTCTAGTCTGGGCAACAGAGTGAGACTCTGTCTCAAAAAAAAATAAAAAAATTAAAAAAAGACCCTCAATCCCACTTGTTCCTCCATTTCTCTGCTCCCCTTTATCAAAAACTTAAGACTCTAACTGTTCTCCCATTTCTTCTTTACTAGCTTCTGCTAACTTGCTTTCGTCAAGAGTACTGCTGACCTCCCACTTTGCTAAATTCAATTCAATTCTCAGTCTTCATCTCTCTATCATAGAATTTTACATAGTTGATCCCTCCCTTCTGGAATAATTTCCTTCACTTGGATTCCAAGACAGCCCACTTTCCAAGTTTTCCTCCTATACCAGCTGCTCCTTTCTAGTCATCTTTGCTGGTTCTCACCCATCTCCCAGAACTTGTAAAGTTAGAGTGTTTCAAGACTCAGTCTTTTGATCTCTTTTCTATCCACATTCACTCTCTTGGTGACCTCATTCAGTGTTATAGCTCTAAATACTATCTATATGCTGATGACTGCCAAATTTATATCTTCAGCTTGAAGCAGTCCCAGAACTCCAGACTAACTATCTACTGCACATCTCTATTCAGAAGTATAATAGTCATTTCAAATTTAACATGTTCATGGAACTGTACTCCTAAATTCCTGCACTACCACTTAAATTGCTCTACCCACAAGACTTCTCCATCTCAGTTAATGGCAACTCAACTTTTAGGTGATCAGGCCCAAAACTTTTCACAATCATCTTTGACTCTTTCCATCAGATCTTACAATCTGTCTGCAAATTCTGTTAGTTCTACCTTACAAATATTGTATATCCAAAATATGACTACTAATCTCACTGCTATTACCCTAGCCTGAGCCATCATCACTCTTGCTTGGGTTTTATCTATAGATTCCTAACTGTTTACCCTGTTTCCACTCTTGCAACCTTACAGTCTTTTCCTATTATAGCAGCCAGAGTGATCTTCTTAAAATACATTTTGGACCATTCTGATCTTATTTCTGGACCAGTCTGATCTTATTTTCTAGTAGTTTTCCCCACTTGCTTATTTCCCTCCAACCACCATGGTTTCTTTGTGGTTCCTTGAATGTGTTAAGAATACCCTATGGAAGAACCACAATTAGAACTCTGCTGTCCTGAATTCTAATACAGTAGTCTATTCATAAGACTATGGTTATTAATAGACTAAAAGATCAAACAACTCCTGTTTTTGTTTTTTTACCTTGCATGAATCTTGAGATTGCTAGAAGTTGCAAATTGTAAATTGCATACATCACATTTATAGGGTTTTTCCTCACCATGATGCATGCGACTATGGAAGACTAGCTGGCATTTCTGAGCAAATCCTTTATCACACAATTCGCATTTGTATGGCTTCTCACCTAAAGGAACAAGTAAATAAAATTTATATTTAGAAGAAAATATTCTGTTTTAGTTGCTTAAGTAATTATCAGCATTCAAAAGAGTTCATCAACAGTACTAGTTTTGGTATTCAGAAAATGTTAAGTGCTGGAAGTACAAGCAAATAGGATTTCTTTCCAGATTACTAAAAACACCGGTACAATTAAAAGAAGTTAGTGTTTGTTAATTCGTAATAGTGAAAGATGATCAATGAGAGACATACATACTGCATCTTAAACAGTACAAATCTAAATGTACCAATGGGTACTCACAGTTTACCAGCAGAAAGAGGACATGCAAAATAAAGGTAAATGTTGAAGCTGAGGAGACAATGTTTATGTGTAATTCTAATAAACATATTCATAAGCCAACAAAATCTACGAGGTATATAATGAGAAGTGTTGGCAATATCTGAAAATTGGCCTGAGTTCTAATTACTTTTTATCAGTTTTAATATTTTTGTCTCTATTAAGTATTTGGCAAGCTAGAACCAAATTTATGCTTACTTTGAGGGAAAATGGTATAAGGAGCTGATGCATTAGGACTTAAAATATCAGTTATAATAAAACAAATGGCCATTAAATACTTGGTTACAATTACAAGTAAATTTTCAATAGTCTGTCCAGGCATGGTAGCTCACACCTGCAACTGCAGCACTTTGGGAGGACAAGGTGGGAGGATCATTTGAGGCCAGGCATTTAAGACCAGTCTGGGCAACACAGTGAGGCCCCCAACCCTACAAAGAAACTTTTTAAAAAGCCTGGCATAGTGACGCATGCCTGTAGTCCTGGCTACAGGACTTGGTTGGCTGAGGTGGGAGGATCGCTTGAGCCCAGCAGTTCGAGGTTACAATAAGCTATGATTGTACCACAGCACTCCAGTCCACCCTGGGCAACAGAGCAAAACCCTATCTCTAAAAAAAAAAAAAAAAAAAAAAAA